TTTTTCAACAGTTAAGCAAATGAATGCGAAATAGATAGTGCAAGTCAGCACATAAGTCAGCCCCTCGGGCACAGCACTCCATCAACAAATAACACCAGGGTAGTAGGTAAGCAGTGCAAGAAGTAGCATAGAAGCCAATGAAATGCGAGTGCTGAATGTCATGACACGTAATACAAACAAGAACCAATGCATACGTGTAGGAGGTCACATATTCATTTGGGTCAGTTGTTCCGTTGTACTTAGGAATTTCGGGCATGCGGAACTTCTTTGGGATTGGCTTTGGAGCTGCGCTCGGAGGGAAAGGTTTTTGAACAAACCTTTTGGAATCTAGGCCTTTCAGTATCGGTGGTGCTTTTGGGATTTGGTCGACCCTGGAGTTGTAGGTCTCCACCTTTTTGTCGTTAGCTTCGATTTTCTTTTCTCCCGTTTCTACCCATTTTATCAATTCCTCGAGCGTATCTCAGGGTTGCTCCCGGACTCAGCTTCACTTGGCCTATTTGTGGCCGGTTCATTTCTGCGAGTGTTTTTCCAGGATGGTTCGGGTTCAACTCTACCGGGAGCACGATTTGGGTTTTGCAATTGAGTTATCGCTGCCTGTTGAGCTTGTATCATTTTGAAGATCACCCGCAAGTTGATCCCATCTCCTTCACCGTCGCGTGTATTTTAGGGTACCGATAGGACTCCCCCGCGGACGATGTTTTCAGGATCGGTAGGCAAATTCGCATTGATGGCCACATGTGAGTTGGCGTCGATCGGGTCTGCACCCGGAACTCCGTTGGGATCAGTAGGGAGCACCTCATTACTGGGTACCATATTGTTGTTCTCTCCATGGAGGCCGGACTTAGCATCCAAGTTTAGAGAGGCAGATTGGGAGTTCGGCATTTCAAATTATGACCTGAAATAAAAGACACTTCAAAGAACAAGTGTAAAATATGGTGTGTTATGAAAATTTGTATCAAATTGCCACTATTATCCTTAGTCCCACGGTGGGCGCCAAACTGTTTACCCTCAAAATTGAATAATAATTAAATTTGTAAGTGGTTTTAAGAATACGTGGATTTATTCAATACAAACGACAAAGATTGCTAGAATAAATAGATAAAAGATATAATAAATTATCAAATCGCTTGAAAAATAAGGGGGGAGGATGATTCTGGACTCGAGGGCAGCCTCAATGAGGTATTCGTCTTCGATCCTGGGCTTATAATAATGAAACACTGATCGACAACGCAAGAACTTTGGATTGTAGGGAAATAATAGTATAATGCTTTGATATGCGTGTTACAATGATCCTTATGAATAATCAGACTCCCCTTTATATATAGTAGGGGAGTTTTATCCTAAGTACAATTCTATAAAAGGTAAGAAATCTTCTGTTTAACTAATTATCGATTCTCTATTGATGCGTGTCTGTCTTCCTTACTTTCTATCTTGTCTAAGCTTGCTGGATTTTCCTCATCCGCTGTATTGAATCAACGAGATCCGCACCATAATATTCGGGCGGTCGCGGATATCACGGCCTTCTGTCGGTCGTGTTTGGTTGCTTGACAACATTCTTCGAGGTCTTTTGGGATTTAGACCGATCCCGGATCATGGACCTGATATTCTTGAGGGTGGGCGTCACGCCCCCGGACTCTGACTCAATGAAACCCTTGACTCGATTTCGATTCCTTGTCCTTATATCTTTAGCTCGATTTATCATATCGGAAGCCGGGGTGTACCATGAGCTCGGTATTACCCGTGCACAATGTTGTTAATGTTATTACAAATTTGGGGGATGAAACTCTAACTATATTTGTCTCATTTTATATGACACGTCAAAAAATTCTTCATTATTTATGTGTTTTCACATTATTCTTATATATATATATATATATATATATATATATATATATTGAGAATTGGACTAACACTTGCAGGCAATAGCCAAAGGATGATGTAGTTGTTAGGCTGAAAGCACTCGTTGCACTCTTTTTTCCTTGAGCCGATTTTATCCTAAATGGGTTTTCTGGCAAGGTTTTTAACGAGGCAACAGTGGATCGTGCGAACTTAGAATCGAAGACCTGTTTTGAATCAGAGTCGATGGTCATATCAACAGTATCTGAGCCCTCTCAAATATCGACCTCGAATACTAGGGGCCATCACCCTCGGGTCATGATTTTTAGCAAGGAAGGAAACTCTGTGCTCGATCAGTCTCGACTCGGTAGTTAGGATTCATTGTAAGGGCCAAACGATCAAATGAACCGTACCCGCGTAGGTCACACCGGCCGCAATACGAGCTTTTATACAACCTTGTACATTACGCACAAAAATGAAAGAAGGTTTCTACCTTGCTAACAAACATTTTTTGCTTCTTAAAAGTATCAAGCCTGAGGGCTATTCCTACTCGATAACTATCAAGCCGAAGGGCCACCCCTATCCGAGCCCAAAGGGCTACCCCCATTCGGGGACTATCGTCCTTGATAAGTTCAGATGGCTCAAGTTATCGAAACCCGGAGGCACAAAACCTATTAGGTAGTGACCACCAACGGCTCGGAGATGTCCGAATCCCATAATCAAAACATAAGGCCTTCAAAATTCCAAACATGTTCAAAGGTTACCCTCGGCAAAATTATAGTATAAAAACATCTAAACAAGCATTTTGGGGAAAGCTTCCAGTCATTTCGAGCCCCCACAAGTTTAAAACAAAACTTGTATCGAGAACAAGTCTTGTTCGGACCTCCGAAAAATAACCTATTACTATGTTTTATTCCGTGCTAAGGCATCTTTGCAATTATAAAAAGGATGCTAAAGGTAATAGACTTGAGAATTTCCAAAAGGAAAAAAAAATTTATATATACATTTAGAAAGTCTTTGTAAAGGCCAATGAAAACGGCCTCAACAAATAAGTGTATAAAATGCAAAAAAAGACAAAAATTCCTAAGGCACCTACACCTTATCTCCACCAGAACCCGCCTCGTCACCAGAGTCGTCGGGGTCTTATCCATCGTCGGAGACCTCAAAGTCTTCTTCACCCTCGGGTTCAGCCAGCTTCTTGACCTCGAACTCGAGCATTTTCGCCTCTTCAATTTGGGCTAACAGGTCGAAACCTCGGGCATGGATATCTTTGAGGGTCTCCCTTTGAGATAACCGCTTCACGTACTCAATAGTGACTTCAGGCGGGCCTCGGCTAACTCAACATTAACCCTATACTGGGCCACCATCTCTTCACCATCAGCTGGTTGTTTTCGNTATATATATATATATATATATATATATATATATATATATATATATATATATATATATATATATATATATATATATATATATATATATCAGAATTGAGGCTTATATATAATTTCAGAATATGTATAGTTTCTTTTTGAAAATTAATGTATTATATTGAATTTCACGCCAAAATCCGTCACCCATATTTGGCAGAATCCTACTTGTATATTAAGATCCAATCAAAATATGAGAATTTGCCTGCTAAATAGCCTAAATTAAAGAGATAGCTATGCTCCTAAGTAGCCTTAATTCGAAAGTGACGTGGTTAGATAGACTCCTACAAGGAGTAGAATTTAACTTCTGTTGTTCCCATTAGTAATTAATCGTTCTACACCCTGGTAGATGTTGATAATATTTCTATGAGTAATTAAATCGAGTATCACGCTTTATCCTAATCTTAGGTCTAGGTATGACAATGAAATCGTACCGTTGTATTTTTAAAATGAATTTTTCTAATGCAAATCAAGATTAATCGTCCTCAAAGTAAATAACAAATACCAATTGGAAAAAAAGGCCACCTTTAGTAATAAGTAGCTTCTGTTACGAAACTTAGTTCAAAGTAATACATAAAACAAGAAGATAGACAAGAATGTAGAGAGGAAGAGAGGAGAGAATCTTATTTCTTCTATGTAGAGGTGTGTGAGTTACATCCATAATGGTAAGAAGTAGTGGGAGGTTAATGGAGAAGAGTAGTGAGTGTTACTCCCTTAGGAGTTATGGACATCCACCATAATCAAGTATTTTATAACAGCTTCTTCTTTTTTCCAACTCATTTGAATTTTTGTTTAATTTTCCTTATTTGTCCATTTTTGTCAGTACTTCGAAACGGAGAGGTTAAAATTTGTCAGTGTAAAATATTTTCCTTTTACAGATGAGTGATAAAAAATTGACAAATTACTGATATTAGGATAAGAGCAATGATGGTGATAGTTAAAACTCATAAAATGTATACATCTGAGGAAAAAACCAAAGAGAGTTCTTTCAGTGGTAAATGAATCTTTATATCGATATTCAACCATTCAAAATTAAGTAATGTATTGACGAGTCATGTTGTTAAAGTGAAAGAGACATCATCTATTGTGATATATTTCCAGAAACAAAAAAACAAAAAAAAATCCAAAACCAGTTTTTTCCACAAAATAAATTTATCCAAAAACACAATTTCTCTTAAACCAACCAATTTAAATGCTCAATTTGTAAAGTCTATATAACTTTAGAGCTAATACTGTAAATTGAAATATCCTCTTTTTTTAATAAGCCCTCAATTAAAGATATATGTATAAAATAGTGAGAAATTGCTTGAATACAGTGCTGCCAAATATTGTAGTATTCTAGTGTTTGTATATTGATTCCATGTAAAAGTTTTGAAAAAGTTTTTCTCAAACACTGGTACAAATTAAAGTCTAGCAAGAACTAAAAAAAAGTGTTAAACTAAATCCAAAAAAATTGTAGTAATAAAATTGCAAAGTAGAACGTAAGAAAAACAAATTTAAAGGATGCTAAATTAAATGTAAATGAACATTGGCAGTGGGATTCAAGAACTCGGATATTGTAGAATTATACACCTTCACAATTCTACCATTAGAAATCAAACAAAAACAAGTTTCACCAATCCATTTGAAAAAAAAAAAAAAAAACTAAAATGATAAATACGTTTCTCAGAGTAAATTTCAAACTATAACTAATTCTTGAATTTCACAAGACAGACCCTTCAACTTTGAAAAAATTACTCATTTATGAGCAACCATCTTCATCTCCTTTTCGTTTGCTTCCATTTCATCTCTAAATCTTTTGTAAATATCAGTCTTATAGTAATCCTTAGTCCTCCATACCAAAATCAAAGAAACAAGAGCTCCAAATGCATTCACACAAGCAAGTATGATAAAAGAATTCCTATAACATTGTTTTCCAATGCAAACCAATTCTTTCACCATTGATCTTGTCATACCTTTACTTGCTAATTGCTTCAATGCCTCCTTATCATAAAGTTTGCCCACAATTTTCACATTCAATACATATGATCCAATAGGACTAGCCAATTGTCCACAATTGAATAACGTTGAGTAATACTTCAATCCAAACAGCTCCGATATTATAATGAAAAGAAGCGTCAATTGGATACCAAAAGAGAAGCCAATTAGCAACGATGCCACATAAACTGAACCGGGAAAAGGGAAGGCGATGAGGAGGTCACCAATGCTCGGTAAGAGTAGAGCAAAGGTCATCATCAGCGTACGTGGGACTTTCCATTTCAAGAGAAGTTTTTCAGAAACGAATCCAGAGAAAACCCTACCAAAATAGTTCCATATGCTCACTAAGGACACAAATGTGCTAATTGTATGAGATGGATAATCTAAGGACTCACCAATTTGTCCCAAATTGTCCACTGCTGTTAAACTGCACCCTAGTCCACAAAATGTAACCACAAATAGAATTAACATGTCCACACTCAAAAGGGCTTGTAGTATAGTATAATCCTCACCTCTTTTTGGCTTATTGCAAACATTACTAAAGCATCCAACTTCATTCTTTTCTTGTTTTTTTGCCATAGAAAAATCATCCAACTCCACAATTTCTGACACTGGCAAAGGTGGTTTTTCAACAATAATCCTAGTAGGGGTTTGCATTATTTCTTTCTTCTTCAATTTCCAAGTATAAAACTCCTCCCTTATTGCAATAATACATGGCAAGAAAAGTACCACACAAACAATAGTGGCACATGCAACATAAGCATTGTGTGAAAATTTAAGATATTTTTGTGAAATTGTCAACCCCATTAATAACAAAGCCAAGGAAATTGAGATAACAAGATTTTGGTAAAAGACTCTAACTTCATTGGGATGTCTAGAACTTTTCATCTCCCTAATGTTAAAGATGAAAAGAATAGAAAGTAAAGCAGGAAGCCAACCAATGAGAAGAATTAAAGACTTAGAATCATTGCCATAAATAGCAAGATAAAGTTGTGTGAAAATTGCACCACTTAACCCTACAAAACCCTTCATTAAACCTAACATCATTCCTCTACTGTCTGGGAAATTTTTAACACATGTAACAAGTGAACCTGTATTAGCAAAATTCTGAGAATTAGCACCAATACATACGTAAATACACATTTGCCATACTTTTGGTGTTGCAATTTTTTTGGTCACGGCTAGCCAAATAAGAAAATAGCCAGCAAAATTCATCACTGATCCAACTAAAAGAACGAACCAAGTTGGCATTACCTCGGCTAAAAGTCCAGAAAGAACACCAACATTAGCACCCAAATCTTTACATGTACCAAGAAGATTAAGGGTGGATTGATCATATCCAAGAGTCGATTTTATAACTTTGGAATATACGCCGAACAAATACGTCGCGCCTGCTCCAGCCATAATCAAGAATGAAGCAAACATCATAAACCAACGTCCACGTAGGAATTGCAAAGTGAAACTGCATAATCCAAAACTAGGATTTTTTACCATTGAATCAGCCATACTTAATTTTCTAGTGATAAAATTAAACGGATGGAGCTTTGAGTAAATATAAAGGACTGATTTATGGGGTTTTATTCTACTAAGGATAACTTATAATAAGCATTATGAGTGGAAGTTGGTTAGACTTGTGAGAATAAATTTGAAGTGTTTTTGAATTGATATATGATTTGAAGGATAAAGTTGAAGGAGTTTTTGAGTTTATGGAGTCTTGGAATAAGATTTTAATTTGGATAAAATACAGTATAAATCATGATAAGCATAAACCCGAGGTCATGATATATACGTTAGATTTCCCAGGAGCATTAGTTATTCATTGAGTAAAATTCCTTTTTCCTCTATAAGTTGACTTTTAAAAAGAATTCCTAATAGGTATGAGATTAATTCAGAAAAGTATAAGCAATTTCCTCTATAAGTTGACTTTTAAAAGAAATTCCTAATAAGTATGAGTATGAGATTAATTCAGAAAAGTGTAAAAGCAATTGATTTATTTGGAGGAAGCCCACAGATAGTTATCACTACCCCAAAAAAAAAAAAAAAAAAAACGCGAAGGACAAATTCTATCGCAAAATAGCAAAAATTCATTGCTAATTATATTTAACGACGAATTAGGGATGGATTATCACAAAATTATGTTTGCTATGAGCTATTTAGAGATATACTAGCGTAAATTTCATGAAAAAATTAAAACAGACAAATTTTATCGCTAAATAGCAAAACTTCATTGCTAATCCTATTTGACGGTGGTCGGTGGATTAGCGATGGATTATTATAAAATTATGTTAGCTATGTACTATTTCGACAACATCAATTTTGTAGCAAATTCTTTTTTTTTTTTTTTTTTTTTTTTTTTTGTAGTGTATAAAGATTTAGGCATAATTAAAAAAATTGTAAATGCCAACTTTCTTTGAGGAAGGCCACATTTTTTTTAAAAGAAAAGTTAACAACGGACATATTCTGTTACTAAACATCAAAAGTTCATCAGTAATCCTATTTAATGACAGATTAGCGATAAATTATCATAAAATTATGATAGCTATGGACTAAATACGACAGACTAGCATAAACTTCATAGCTAATCCTATATATATATATATGGTAGTGTATAAGGACTGGCATAGTTAAAAAGATTGTAAATGCCGCAAGTTATTATATTTATATTGTAATGGTAAGGGACTAATGTTCGTCAATAATTTGTCTTTAGAGAATAAGAGAAATAGGGGACTGGATAAAGTATTATGAAAAATGTGGGGTCTTTTTGTCTTTTACTGAAACTAAAAAGCTGGAGAATATGCTTGAATTTAAATAAAATCAGGAGGAGGAAATTGATTTTTACTAGAAGTTTAAAGTCTATGATATGTTTATTAGGACACTCAACTTTTAAGGAAATAAAACGATAATCGCGAGAAAAAGAAAATAAATAAACAGATTCCTTATAGAAATGTTGCTGGACTGCGAATAAATACCCTTTAAAATAGGGATTTTATATACAAATTTTACAACTGTGAGAGTATGATATTAAATTTTAGATACAAATTTAATACTCTGAAAGTTTCCAATAGATATGCGATAACAAGTTAGCTATCATTTTGCCCAATTATCAAATAATGGTTATCATATAATTTTTTACTAAATTATCAAGTAATGCGTATTATAAAATTTAATGTGTGAAGTACAATTAGAGAATTGGCGAAATATTCACATCTCAACGTGGATCCTTTCTTGTTATCATACGCCAAAAAAAATAATAGTTTTATTTATTTAATTATGTCTTCAATACACCCTCTCATGTGCGGGCTCAATTCTTTTTGATGAACCAAGCACGTAAAATTTTTTTTTTAATATTGGGTAGCGGTGGGATTCAAACACAGGACCTCTGTTTGTTCTGGTACCACGTTGAAGAGGGAGAAATTCAAAAATAGCCAGATTTACAAGTGATCATTCAAAATAATCACAGTTTCAAAAGTCATCGAAATTTAGCTACTTTCATGTAAAGATAAATCTGAACGAATACACTGTTCAAAATCCGGAAAATACTCTAGCATAATATACTGGAGTTCCAGTATATTATACTGGAACCAGTAAAGCATACCGGTCCAGCATAATATGCTGGAAGTTCATACACAGGTGCACCGAACTCCAGTATATTGACCGGTCTCTGTTGTAGCAAAATAGTGATTATTTTTCAATGACTTGGCAAATGCCGGCTATTTTTGAATGACCAGTCCGAAAACTGGCTAGCTTATACTATTTTGGCCGTTGAAGAGTGTGACCATCTCATCTAAAATTTAAAAAGTTAAGATGTTAGAGAGAACACATATTTTTACTTACGTATTGTTCGGATCATTGTTTCCCACTGTTTTATAATGTATTGTATTGTACTGTACTGTATTGTATCGTTTTGATGGATACAACGTTTGGATAGACTATATCGTTTGCTGTTGTTAAATAACATCTTTATTGTTTTGTTTGATTGTATTGTATTGTACTGTACCGCTAAATTTACTAAAATACCCTCAATTATTTTAAATACGATACTTATTAAGAATTACTCATAAAAATAATTTATTCATTTGGCCTCCGCATCTTCTTCACAGGGAACCATCATTCTACTATAATAGCGAAAACCCCAAATCGATTTCATACAACAACAACAACAACTACCAGTAAAATCCCACATAGTGGGGTCTGGGAAGGGTACTGTGTACGCAGACCTTACCCCTGCCCCGATAGGGCAGAGAGGCTGTTTCCGATAGACCCTCGGCTCAGAAAGACGGANTTATAATAAAGAAAAATCATCAGCTCACGCACCTTAGGTGCGTGTAAATCACTCATTTTGTCCACCTCAGCCATATCAATGCCACGTAAGCTCGGTCAACGGTCAGAAGGGTTTAAAAATCTTATTTTGATTAAGTTGAAGTGCCTAGGTGAAACTTTATGAAGTGTAGGGACCGGGATGACAAACCGGAACAACTACAAGTGTCTCCCAGGCTATTTTGCCTTTTTTATTTTTAGCATGGGAGAAGAAAAAAAAAACCTATATTGTTTGATCCAAATTTACAACTTGTTTATATTAATATGTGTTTTTTTCCCCTCATTCAAAGGTTATCAACCATGGAATATCCCAGGATATAATGGATGCAGCAGTTTCAGCCGCCTTTGGTTTCTTTGACCTGCCGACTGAAGAGAAAGAAAAATTAATGTCGATGACGTGTTCAACCCAGTCCGATATGGCACTAAGCACTATGCAAATCCTTTAAATGATTGGATTCAACAGTGGCCTCAAAACCCGCCTGACTATAGGTACGTACCTTGTTTATTTCTTGACCATAAATAGATCATGAGTGCTATTACCTTCATATTGTTATGAATTTTTATTTGAATTAAAACTTTTATATGCACTAACACTATACTATAATTTTATATTAGCTCTAATTTTAAAGTTGTTTTAGCAAGTAACCTACTTTATATTCAAGTTACTACAACAACAACAACAATTACCCAGTAAAATCCCACATAATGGGGTCTGAGGAGGGTAATGTGTACGCAGACCTTACCCCTGCCCCGATAGGGCAGAGAGGCTGTTTCCGATAGACCCTCAGCTCAGAAAGACGGAAATAAAAAACAAGAAAAGAGAATTCATTAGTAACTCCAACAGAAACCGTTATAGTAACAGAAGCATAAAAATAAAAAAATGAATGACATGCAATAACAGTAACCAGAGTCTAAGGCCCGGGTCTAATATAAACATCAAGAATAGTGTGGGTTCAACATAAACTGCAAGCCATCTAAGATCAACCCTAATCCAACCCTGCCTCACCCCCGGTATGAAGTAAGGAAAGCTCTACTATGTTGACATTCAATTTTGTCCCTCCTTTCTCCCAATCAATTTTCTTGAGCTTTTAAGTTATTTATATACTTTACTTTTAAGTTATTTATATACTTTACTTTTACTACTATTATTATTAAATTTGTTACTATTATTATTATTATTATTATTATTATTATTATTATTATTATTATTATTATTATTATTATTATTACTACTACTACTACTACTATTACTACTGTTACTACCACTACTATTGCTACTAAATAATAATATTATTAGTATTATTGTTATTATTATTAATCATTATATATTATTATTACTACTACTAATGATTTTATATAATTTAGTTTAAAGATCAAGTATTTGAACAAACTTAGAAGCTTTAGAAGAAATGCAAGAAGAAAGGACCATTTCAAGTCCAAATTAAGAGAACCATTTAAGGTCAGCCCAAAAGACCTTTATTTTCCCAAGACCAAACTCACTCGGCCCAATTTTAATTTAGCCCAAGTTCTCTTAGTAGCACATACACCTATTCAAAATCTATCCTATCCAACAATCCGAACGAATTAACCCACTACTATAGAGATACAATACTAGGGTTCCTAAAATCTCTTTACAGCTGGGCGTCTTCCCTTTTTGACAAGGTTCCAGACTTCTATTTTCTCAAATCAGATTGGTTCCGCCATTTCCATGCAAAGGTTGCTGCGGTTTCAGCCTTGTCATAGAGATTATTATCTCTCTCATCTGCAAGGAGCTTTAGGAAACACAAGAAGCCAAATACTTTTAATATTTCTGAAGCAAGATCACGTGAAGCCCCCTCTCAAATCTTCTATTCAGAGATACGATGTTACAAACGGCTAATTTTTCTTGATTTTGGCTTTTATTTCAAACGTCTCTCTTTGACCAATTTCAAATTCCAAATCTCATTTAACAATTAAAACTCTAGAATTTCCTCTATAAATACCATCGTTTGAGCTGGAAAAAGGGGCCGCACCTTTACCCCACAAAATGGTGGGAGTCTCCTCCTCCTTTTCTGAAACTCACTAATTTTTCTGAAATCATAGCTCGGCCAACTCTTTCTCTATTTGGTTTGCAATCTCAAAGCAGAGGCTCTTGTCTTTTGCTCAGCCGAGGTATTGAGTTTGAGGTCGAAGTGCGATAGTTGATCGACGACTCTCTTAGTTCACTGCCCTGAAGAAGGTCAGTAACTTTTCTTCTTTGTTTAATTCAATTGTAAAATC